ATACAACATCCTTTAAGAAAACAGGATAAGGATCATGAAAATAATTATATCCCTTCATCAGTTTTACTTAAAATATGTTTTGGGAAAAACAGAATTATATTTGAGTATTTATGAGTCTACTAACATCTCCTAAGACGAATTGAGTTAAAACCAAAGTATACCAATTAAAATATTTAAAAAAAGAAAAGCAGTTCAGCTCTGAGAAAACTCCTCATTGAGTGCTTATAAAAAGTATAAGAAAAGATCCTTTTATTTTATATATAAATTGAGCTCATTAATTATCCACAATCGAAAGCCGAAAGACTATTTTCGCCAAGGATTTGGAATTGTCGATCAATTCTGTTTTCTTCAATAATCAAGCTTTTCCTGTCGGCTTTCTTGGCTAATTCTTTATAAGAAATTCACGTACAAACAAACCCCAAATATTCATTAAGATAGGAGTGATATTGAATTTCCAAGATTCTGGTGACCGCTTATCTGCCTTCCACTCCGATTCGATCTTCGGCTTTCCGCATCTGAATCCGGGATATAAATCGGTTCGGATTATGGCACAATCTACTCGTAGATATATTGATCTCTTGGGACCAGCTGGATAACATCTGTCCTGGGAAATTTATCACTATAGGAAACTACACCTGTAACTAAATATCCCGCGGATCTTAACTTTTAAACACACGTGGCTCGGAGGTGTTCCTCACTGACGGAAGTTATAAAAAGAAAAAACTTTTGCCTGTATCTGCTTTATGAAACTAATAACGAACTGACCATTTAAAAAACAGACAATATTTTCTTAACTTATTTATTTGTAAAAACCTCATGTTGAGTATTTGCATGGAGTTTGGTGATGATAAAAGTACAGACATACAACATAGAATGAAATTACATATAGCAAAACAATGAAGTTAACACAACTCTATAACATAATTTTGGGGCATTCACGATCGTTGTGAGTTATTTCTGTTAAGCTGGATGTCGGTATGGTCTACATAAAAAAAATTCATTTTGTTATTTGCCAATCTTTAGACCTATATTTTTTAATGCTTTTTATTTTACAAATATAGCTGTAGCTTATTATTTACAAATAATTTTTCTTTTTCTGTAAGGTCTTGGTTTAGATGAAAAAGTTAACGTCACGAACGGGATTCGAACCCAGGACCTTCGGCCCAATATGCCGCTGCTCTATATAAATTGAATAATTAATATGGTCTATTAGACAACTAAACATAAATGAATTATGAAGGAACAACCATTTTATGCATCTGGGGTTTTGTTTGGATGGTCCTTAAATTCCTAAAATTTGTTCGATTTAGGCACGTGTTCTTTAACAATCGTTTTAATTTCTATACCGTTTTTTCCTATACATTTAATGTCGCAATCATTACAATTAAGTTGGTAAACCTCGCTTTTTGAATCAACCTTGTTTTTAGGTTTTAGTTGAGATAAAAAAGTCAGTGTCAAAAGCGGGATTCGAACCCACGGCCTTCTGCTAGATACGCTCCGTGGCCATTCCATTTGTCGCCGAGAATCAAATAGATTACACATTTGAAAAATGGCAAAAAGGAGGGAAAATTCAAAAGGAGGGGTTGAGATGGGAAGTTGGTGTTCGAGTGGATGGAGGTCAGGATAGCTCAAGTGGTAGAGCAGCGGCGTATCAAGCCGAAGATCGTGGGTTCGAATCCCGCTCGTGACACTGACTTTTTTTATCTCAACTAAAAAACCTTAATTAATTGAAAGATATTAATTGGTCAAGCGGACCACGAAAATTAGTGAATTTGTTTTTATGTTTTAAGAGGATGTTTCTAAGTATATACACCTCTAAAATCTACTCTAAAACCTTCTTGTTTAAGAATTTCACCCTTTTTTTCTCATAATATACTAATGTATGGCAAACTACACGTTTCATTTGGCTCACAGACCGTATGTTCGAACTCCCATTAAAACCTGCTAACTATAAAAAAATTAAAAACTATTAAAACCTTAGCTAAAAACAATGGATATCAAGAAATATTTATTGATAGCGTGGTAGTTAAAAGTGTAAAAAAATTAAATTTAAAAGAAGAAACAATTGGACTCATCCATCCCGCCAAAAATGAATCATTGCTCGTTGTTTGACATACATTTAAATTTAAAATTTTTATATGTGTTTATACAATTTCATACGACCTATGATGAAGGTGGGGTATGTAGATACTTTGTGTAAATGATGGTCTACTCTAAAATTTGATTATATAATCTAAATGATTTAATTTTATTAATTAATTATTTTGATTTTATTATTGAAATCTGTAAGTAGAATTTACATGTACAAAAAGTAAAGCCATGTACTGTCTACTAAAACATCAAAAATCTATATATTTCAGTTTAAAAACCGTTTGTGAATTGTAATTGGCTTAATCTGTCGCCGAGAATCAAATATATTATTCGACATTTGAAAAATGGCAAATAGGAGGGAAAATTCAAAAGGTGGGGGTTGAGATGGGATGTCCGAGTGGATGGAAGTCAGTATAGCTCAAGTGGTTGAGTAACGGCGTATCAAGCCGAAGGTCGTGGGTTCGAATCCCGCTCGTGTCACTGACTTTTTTATCTCAACTAAAACGTGGTTTCGTGTTACCTAGGAAAAATATTATCAATCATATTGTCTGATAGATTGGAAAAATTAAAACATGGGAGAAATTGCATATTCTCTTCCAATCCAGTATAAAATGAGTTTTTTTCACCCACTGATATTACAGTTTAAATTTGCATTGTTTGAAATTAAACATACCGTATCAATTTTCGTTTTTATGAGCGTTATATCATATTCAATAGTGGGTAAATATTTTACGAAATTGCAACCCGTCATCTCTACTGTTCCGACTTTATTTGTTCAACTCCAAAACGTCACATATCAAGCGTTGTGAACACCAATTAAGCCGGGAAAGCACTTTGAAGATGTAATTTAAACCGTGCTCAAACAAATTCCAGAACTCTTCAATTATGTAGGTCTTTTGGAAAACGAGCAGAACCGTTTTAAATATGCATGGCACGGTTTTTACAGCTTTCCAACTAGGCCGTTAGTTGTTATTTCATTATTAAAACTTTATTCCTTCCGAGGCGGGTTCCTGATGTAAACAAAAAAAAAAATTACAGAATGACTAGCATTTATGAACGCTGCTAGTGGTTTTCAACGCAGCATAAGAAACGACAACCATTGGATCAAGACTTTTTCAAAATATCTATAGTACCTTCTATTATTGCGATCGAATTATTTTGCATTTACACAATACAAACATCTATGTTTTGATTCTGGTTCTATTAAGAGCATTTTCTTTTGAAGCATGTAGTGTTATCTTGACTCATTTTTATTTTTAACATTCAAGTTAAACTTATTTGAATTAGTTATATTATGAAACTTGATTCCTTCATTACAAAAAAAAACCACGTAATCATAAGATCGGATAATCAACCAACTAAAGCATTAACATGAAAAAATCACATAAAAATTAGTCAGTGAATGAATCCAAAATCTCAGAAACATCGGGAAACAAAACAACCTGATGATATTCTTCCGGGCAAGGGAATTTCGGGTAACGAAAAGGCAGACACAGTAGGCAGAAGAGGATCTGCAAAAACATCGACCCTCAACGTACTCTCTTAACTAAAACAAGCACAAAATCTTCCATTGAAAAATGGATCCAAAAAAAGACAAAAGGAAGATGTGGCGAAACTCTAGGCACAGAGACTGGACAAACTCACTTGTACAATCAGACAGGGCGAAACCCCGAGGAGTGGTAGGACTATGAACCGGTCACTGGCATCTGAGAAAACATCTACATGGACATATTCAATGCCCCAATTTGTAAATTATGCATTGAGGAGGAAGAAACAGCCTTTGAATACGAAGCACCCACTCAATGAAGACATAATCTGGATAGAAAGGTAAAGAAAACGTAGAGAGAGAAACTGCAGCAACGACCGCCATCGACCTAGTATGTCTTAGGAGAAGGGAATCGATTACACTGAACTAAAAAACTAGAAAAGTACAATAAGCCAGAAGCTGTACTGCTATGGGGAACAAAAACCAAATTCCTAGAACCCATCATGTTAACTATGCCTATCCTAATTGCGTAACGATATATTTTTCACTACTACTATTGCAGTTTTGATCGGCTGCTATAACATACAAATTTGAAAGCTTGGTGTGACATTTGTATTTTATCTGGCTGGGTAATGAGAGGTCAATACAGCTGCAAACGCTTTTTCTTCAACATTGCTTGTAAATAACTCACTCGATGTGATAACCTTCCTCACTACGATAATCTGTCAGATGCGTTTCGTCGTTTTGCCATCTACTGTGACTGATGCTGAAAAATCAGTGAAAAGACACACTGAATTTGGCAAGATTACGAAACATGATCATTATTGTTTGTTGACGGTTATGGCGATGACCTTGTGAAGGTTGGTGTATATATGAGTTGTTGAGTGCCGTGGACTTCCTGGTCAGTTGGTTGAGAAGTGCCGTGCGATGATGTATTCCATGGCTTGTATAGACGAGCCGGATGATGTAGCCGAAGTCGATAGCTAACGAAGAAAACCGTGTTGATGGCAGCCACATCGACCGTTGAAAGTGCAAGGGATGAGTGATGTTGTACCCAGGCGTTGACGCTTGTTCCATGAATTCATCGACGAGTATGGTCTAAGCAGGTTAACCCCCTGATTACATACCTCACTGGCTGCTGCCTGAAAAGTGGAACCATTGTTCAAGCCATGGTGACGTCTTGTGGAAACCACAGTTAAACCCAGCAGTCACAAATATAAACTCGCAATGCCACTTTAAAGTCGTAGTTGTAAATTATTTGTTTATCTATATCGTTATCTTTTTTATAGTCAAAAATGTACAAACTATTTGTATGCTATTAGTCTCCTATTGACCTCTCAATATAATGTCTTTATTTTACCTGAGATTAATGTGTACAGTGGCTATTATTTGTCCATAAAAGTAAAACTCTTGCAATTTCCAGGAACACCCGTTCAACACCGGCTCCTGCGACGAATGCTGGGATGGTAGATTGGACAAACTGATCATCTGGGAGCCTGGTATGACGAACAGCACCAAGACCCCCGGTTCGGGCCTCCACGGGGCCAAATGCCTCTGCAGGAACACGAGGACGTCTCTGAAGCCGAACCTGCCCGCGGCCAAGATCATCTCGACAACGGAAACGCTCAACCTGGAGCTCAACGTCGACCCGGCCCACGCGGCGTCCAGCTATTTCAAGCACGGCGGAGCACTTTTCGAGGCGAAGTACGAGTTCGTACACTCGCCCCTCTGCGGCCCGGCGGTCATCCCGGCGAGCACGGAAGGCGAACTTCATTTCCCACATTACGAAGCTCTCGGTTACACCGAAGCTCCTCGTTCTATCAGATGTATCTGGGAAATCAGGGTCAATAGAGACAGGGACGTCTGGCTTCACTTTGATAAAGTAAGTCATAATAACCATTACTTATTAATTTTTCAAATATATGTCTTCATTAAAAAAATTGCATTGTGAAACATGTTTAATGCTAGTACTGCCTTTAGTGCGGATAGGAGATTTTTTTCCTGTGTAGCCTCTTTTAAGATTTTCTAAGGCAAGGTGATATTAAGCGTTAAAACGTATATTTAAGGCTCGTTGGTAAAGAGAGCTGTGTATACCACCATGCGCATAACCAACACCAAAGATTTATTTATGAAGGAAAATTTTGTTTTTCAGGTGAGATTCACGACGAAAGATTGCCAGGACGGAAGACTGGAAGTGTTCCTGCCGTCGCGGCCGGACTACCCGTTCCTTTCGATTTGTGGTCACAACGTCAGCTCGAAGGACATGCCGCCTTTGACCTCTCTCGACCTCACGCCCGCCACTTCGGACAACGGCTACTCGCCCTCGCCCTCAGTCAAAATCCAGTTCATCGGCACCACGACACCGGCCCGAGCCGCCTTCAAAATCGCATGGACGGAACTGTTCCACCTTCCGAGGAATCCAGACGGGACGTTAATGACGTCCAAGTTGACTGAAGGGGGAGGATTCACGTCCTCTCCAGAAGGTAGCACCCAGAACATTAATTAGCGACTCTTCTCTTATTCCTCTGTCTTTATAATCCGTATATATTTTAAAATCCGTCATTTTTTTTTAAATTTACTTTCCATCTAATTTATAAATTCTTTTAAATTTGTTTGTCATTTAACCAATAAATGGGATTTCGAACGTAAATCAGTTTATTTTTGTAATTCTATCCATTTATCCTCGATGTACAATATGTATTGATTATATATTAATGACTAAACAGGTAAATATAATCTAAAATGGTAAACATTAAATTAATACAGAAATAAACTGAACCGATAAGACACTTAAGCACATACTGTACGTACTATAAAACAAATCAGCATAGTACTGCTCATTTTTTGAGCAAAGATACTTGGAATACATCACCTTGGTTCACTTTACAATAAAATCAATATTTTATTTCAATTATTCTTTATTATGTCAGGTCTTGGTTGAAATAAAAAAGTCACTGCGGGATTCGAACCCACGACCTTCGGCTCAATACACCGCTCCTCGAACCACTTGAGCTATCGTGACCATTAAGTGGTTTTTCATTTTATATTGCTTTTTCATCTCAACCAAAACCTACATTAAAAGAATAAATAATTAAAAAATTTACGATGGTCAATTAGACCACTGTAAATAAATGTATTATTTTATCTTTTTTTTTTTTTTTGGTATGTGAAGATATATCTATGATTTTTGCTTAAAAAAATATACATGGTCCCTTTTCATACTAATCAGTTACTTTTATTTTAAACAAAGCAAGAGAAAAATTTAAGGTGCGAATTTTTACTTTGAAAAAATTTCTACCACAGACATACAGGGTATCACAATATACTTTTGAATTTTCAAAAGTATCTCTATTTTCATGCATATTCTTAAAGAGCGTTGTTTCAGGAACAATGAATTTTATATCATGAATATTGATCAAGTATTTCCCAAGATACATTACTGGAACTCTCGGTGTTTAGGACTGAGGTTGAGGGCTGTTATAAAATCATGAGATGATTGTCTTTTTAGGCGGCATGAAGAATTTTACGGTGTGAAGTTAAAGAGACGTCGAGCTAGTGGATTGGCGTGGAAGTTGTGGAATTTTATTTGGATCAAGTCACGAATGTGATATCAAGATCTTGGCTATGAAATAGAAGCGATGAAGATGCGACGGAAGATTTGATTGAAAGGATTAGATTCTTTCTTGGCTCACAGCTATACTCCGTAAGTCCAAATCGGCCTAATTAGTGTCTTGTGTGTTAGTTTAATGTGTGTACTCATGGGGATTTGGGTCTGAGTTGTCCGTATCTTCAGTTCTTGTCTTTTTTGGTATGTGCGTTCCATGTAGGCCTGCAGACCAAATAGAACCCAAGGTAGCGAATTTGGTTCAATAGGAGGATTTATCTTACTGTATATGTGCACTAGTGGACTTCTACGTGTGAACGTCACCGGTTGTTTTGTTCATTTAGCTCGATGCGCCAACGATTCGGTGATGAGAGTTGCAAGTGTAGGGTCAGAACGTGACGAAAGGATTGCGGTGTCGTCCGCGAATGTTGTGATGTGTGTTAGGGTAGGTTTGCCAGCAGTGTAGACTGTATAGAGTATTGGTCTTAAGATAATCCCTTGATTCTCCCCTTAAGATTAAAAACGTATTTATTTTGAAAAACATTGTACAATTACTTCACTACTTTCGTGGTCCGCTTGACGTTGGTTTTTAGTTTTTTTAGTTGAGATGAAAAAAAGTTACCGTTAGTTAGTTTACCGGCGATAAATAGCTGAACTTTATTTACAGTAAGTTTTGTAAACTGGTGTAAACAACAGGGGAGGAATTATGTTCCAGGCCAATAAAACAACTGAGTTGAACGTAATTGTAAAATGACAATTAATTAAGGTTTTTAGTTGAGATGAAAAAAAGTTAATGGCACGAGAGGGATTCGAACCCACGACCTTCGGCTAGATACGCCGCTGCTCTACCACTTGAGCTATCGTGACTTCGATCCACTCGGACATCAACTCTCCATCTCAACCTCACCTTATGTGTTTTCCCTCCTTTTGCCATTTTTTAAGGTGGTAGAGCAGCGGCGTATCTAGCCGAAGGTCGTGGGTTCGAATCCCTCTCGTGCCATTAACTTTTTTTCATCTCAACTAAAAACCTTAATTAATTGTAATGTATTAATTGGTCAAGCGGACCACGAAATTAGTGAATTTAATGAATTAAAATGAAGTACACTTCACTAAAGCTCTCCGTCGCCATTTCAATTGTCGTCGAGAATCCAAACCGATTACACGACATTTGAAAAATGGTAAAAGGAGGGAAAACTCAAAAAGGTGGGGTTGTGATGGGGAGTTGATGTCCGAGTGGATCGAGGTCACGATAGCTCAGGTGGAAGAGCAGCGGCGTATCTAGCCGAAGGTCGTGGGTTCGAATCCCTCTCGTGCCATTAACTTTTTTTCATCTCAACTAAAAACCTTAATTAATTGTCATTTTACAATTACGTTCAACTGAGTTGTTTTATTGGCCTGGAACATAATTTCTCCCCTGTTGTTTACACCAGTTTACAAAACTTACTGTAAATAAAGTTCAGCTATTTATCGCCGGTAAATAGACTTAAGTCGTACCGAACCGCCTAGATAAAATTATTCGAATCGAGCAGAATGAATTAGCAGTTCTGATGTATTTATTGAGCATCTAACATCGCTTCAGAAGCAGGACAAAATTTTCCCACCCATGCTGCGCGCACTTCATTCAGGGTTTATGTAGAACGGCGTCTCACATTTTTCTCATCATTTGATGTTTCATTGGGTAAAAATCAAGACTTTTTTATTGTTTATTCCGAGATAGTGTGATGCTGTCTGGTGTGACGTAGGTTTTAGAGAAACCTTATCTTTATCATGCTCCGTTTCGATCTTTATTGAGATCACCTTCAGGGCCTGGGATTTAAAAACATTGTTTAAATTTTACAAATACATGTAGGATGAGGAAAAAAATGAATTTATACAATGCTAGAAAATTTTAGATTAAAAAAGAATGAATTTATACAATGCTAGAAAATTTTAGATAAAAAATTATACAATGCTAAAAAATTTTAGATTAAAAAAGAATGAATTTATACAATGCTAGAAAATTTTAGATTAAAAAAATGAATTTATACAATGCTAGAAAATTTTAGATTAAAAAAGAATGAATTTATACAATGCTAAAAATTTTAGATTAAAAAAATGAATTTATACAATGCTAGAAAATTTTAGATTAAAAAAATGAATTTATACAATGCTAGAAAATTTTAGATTAAAAGGATTGAATTTACACAATGCTAGAAAATTTTAGCAAGGGTTATATTAAAAATTGTTATAAGTTGTTTATGTGCGGTAGAAACAAAAAAGTTTTTATATAAAAAACTAAAACAGGCGTCACAGGCTGCAACGTTTATATACCGTTGACACGGAGTTCAAAACTGGTAAGGTCCCATGTTCGAATCCTGTGGCCCTGCTTTCCAACGACATACTTACAAATTATTTTTTTAAACACCGGCACCTCGAGGGTTGATATGACCTCAGAGTTGAAATGCCTTAAAAAAAGTAGTTTTACTAGAAACCATCATTAATATTAATTAGGTTTTTTTTTTCCTTATGATCTTGCATATTAGCCATAGTACGAATTCTTGTGTGTTCAAATTGGGGGTTATCGGGAAAAAAGGGCCAGAGGCGACGGTGGGAATCGAACCCACGACCGCGGCGTGAGAGTCTCTCATGCTAACCACTCGGCTACCACGGTCCCCAATTAGGTTAATTAGGTTTTGATCCTATTTTTATATTCGTTTGTCGGCATAGTTGGTAACTTTAAAATAATAAAATTAAGAAAGTAAAAAATAAAATTGCAATTTAACACTTTTGAGAATTTGCTTTGTTTACAATAAATGTGGCTGGCTTATTTGAAAAAGCCCACCTGATACAGATAGAATACAGGGTGATTTTAACTTCTGTTCCCCCTATTTTTTCATAATTCGCGTAAACTTTAATTTTTTTTTGGCTAGTTTCACTTGAGCGAAAAAGTTTTATCTAACTTTTCAGGGCAGCGGGATACAAATAGGAGCTTAACTATTTTTCTATTCTGGAAGAAGTTTGGACGCTGAATCATTTAAAAGTTCCAACCGCTTTTCTTTAAGTTATGCCATTTTATAGATAACGCTTTTTCGCCGTTCAGGAAAGAGATTTATCTCGGCTGGAGAGGATCTGGACAATCGTCGTGGACGATGATTTTTCGATCTGCACCCGACTTTTCAGCAAAAAGTACGATTTTCTGGAGTTATACGCCGCAATCAAGACGACTGTTTCCTCTCTCGGCCGACATAAAAGACGAAGAAAGCTCTTGTTATTCCGAAATCGTGCTTACACGGTGTAAGATATTTCTAATGAAAAGAAAAGTACCCAAAAAGGAAGTACTGAAAGAAAAACTGCTTTCGAACTAAACAAGTACAGATGGAAAAGGGGAAAAGCAAACTGAAAAGCTTTCATGTACACAGGGTGTATCAACTTCTATAGTTTACCCATTTAATTGGGAAACGATTAACTTTAGCAAAAACTCGTCTTATACGAATATTTCTGAATTATGCCTGAAGGAAGACTCGGAAGGTGTATGTTTTTTGTAACAAGATTGGGGGGGGGGGTAAAAAACATAAAAAAACAGTCTAATTAAGGGTCGATGGGAATTCGGCCACTTTCCTACTACAGACACATTCACGCTTATAAATACATTTTCACAAAACAATTAAAATTAAAAAACGTAAACAGGGTGTATCAACTTTAAAGTTCACCCATTTAATTCGGAAACGATTAACTGGTGAAAAAAAATGGTCTTATCCAAACCCAAAGTTAATTTTTGCTAGGAATCGCGTGGTGGTAACAGATTTAACATAACTTTCTCATCTAGCTGGGAAATAACAGTAGCTTTGTTATTTTAATGAGAATCCCATATTTTTATTGTTCAATTCCATTCTAGTGCTTATTTTATGCTACTTTTACTGAAAGAAAAATTTTGATAGGACCGACTATTTTTGAGTTATGTCCTGAGGGGGTTATGCATTTGTAACTACAAAATGTCCCTCCCCGTTTATTCAAAAAACGATTAACCTTAGCAAAAAAATGGTCTTATATAAACCCCAAGTTAATTTTGGCTAGGAATCGCTGATGGAACATATTTTCTCATCTAGCTGGAAAATAACACTAGCTTTATTATTTTAAATAAGAATCCCATCTTTTTATTGTATACGATTTTAGCCACTTTTACTGAAAAGAAAATTTTGACAGGATCGACCATTTCTGAGTTATATCCGAAGGAAGACCGTTATCCTTTTTGTAGAAACTAGATGGCTCTCCCCGTTTATTTCGAAAACGATTAAAATTAGCAGGGTTAATTAAGAATAGGAATCGCCTCAGAAGCGGGTAGGGATCATGGGGTTGATTTTAAGCTTGGCTTATATTAATTTTTGAAAAAAAAAAAACTATAGCCAGGATCAACAACTAAAAAAACTAAACCAACATGCAGATTTCTCTTCTCGGCGCTTGTATACATTTTTTTGGAAAGCAGAACATGAAATGAATACTCAGGTATACATTATTGTGCGATAGAAATTATTTCAAGAGGACTAACTTTGAGAAAATAACAAAAAAAAAAAAATTACAATAAAAGAGTTCATTGACATTCAAAATTTAACTATACGTAACAGAACATCGAAACAAAGATATTTTTTAAATAAATATTTACAATTAGATAAGAAAGCTCAAACAAAATGGAAGATAATACCATAACTCGGTCAAATATACATATTTGAACATAGAATATATTTTTGGCTTGAGAAAGAAAAAAAACCTAGCATAACTGAGAAATGGTCGATCCTATCGAAATTCAGGAAAATGGCATAAAATCAGCTCTAGAATCGAATTGCACAATAAAAATATAGGATTCTTATTTAAAATAACAAATTTCGTGGCATTTCCCAGCGAGACGAGAACGTTATGTTAAATCTGTTGCCACCATGCGATTCCTAGCCAAAATTACCTTGGGGTTTGTCTAAAACTATTTTTTGCTAAAGTTAATCGTTTTCGAATTAAATGGGTAGACAATAGAAGTTTATACACCCTGTATATGTAGTTTTTTGGATAGCATAAAATATACTTGTGATAAACATTCTCGGGCAAATGAAAATATCTAAAATAGATTAATGTTATGGAAAGGATCGACTAGTTTTTTTTTGTTTTTGTTTTTTTCAATGTTGAAGAGGATTTAGTTTATGGTCTAAAATCGAGAAATTTATGCCAACAATTTGCCGAACTTTCACGACATATAGACATATAGTTGCATCATCAGGGCCTGTATTGACCAAAAACATCGATACATTAAACTTTGGAATTACAATTTTCAACAAATTTATAAGACTTTTATGAAACAAACTATATTAAATTATTTTTATAAAAAAACAGATACAATTTTTTTTTATTCAAGTTTTCGTTAAATTCACTAGTTTTCGTGGTCCGCTTGACCAATTAATATCTTTCAATTAATGAAGGTTTTTAGTTGAGATAAAAAAGTCAGTGTCACGAGCGGGATTTGAACCCACGACCTTCAGCTTGATACGTCGCTACTCTACCACTTGAGCTATTGTGAAGAAAATAAAAATTACAGACAAGTCAAACAAGAAAAGATACTTAATTCGGCAATGTAACCGTCTGCCGGAGACTATCATTGTAAAAATTCATTTTATTTAAAAAAAAAAGTTTTTAGATCAAAAATTTCTACGGTTTTTAGTTGGGATAAAAAGTCACTGTCACGAACGGGATTCGAACCCACGACCTTCGGCTAGATACGCCGCTACTTTACCACCTGAACGATCCACTCGGACACTAACTTCCCATCTCAACCCCACTTTTTGAATTCTCCCTCCTTTTTTCCCATTTTTCAAGCGGCGGCGTATCTAGCTGAAGATCGTGGGTTCGAATCCCGCTCGTGACACTGACTTTTTTATCTCAACTAAAAACCTGAATGAATTGAAAGATATTAATTGGTCAAGCGGACAACGAAAACTAGCGAATTTAATTAATTAAAATGAAGTATACTTCTCCGTGGCCATTTCATTTGTCGCCGAGAATCAAATAGATTACACGACATTTGAAAAATGGTAAAAAGGAGGGAAAATTAAAAAAAGGTGGGGTTGAGATGGGAAATTAGTGCCCGAGCGGATTGAAGTCACGATAGCTCAAGTGGTAGAGTAATAGCTTGGGTCGAATCCCGCTCGTCACACTGACTTTTTTATCTCAACTAAAAACCTTTACTTACACTGTTGCTGAATTATATGTTAGATATTTGAGAAAGATGACTATTTTTATCCATTTCACAGAACATTTGGCCATTTGTGTGTTTTTTTAACTAGATCCTACAAAAAAACTAAAGAAAAGAGAACAGGAGGTAAATTAACCTCTTTTGTGACGAAAAAAGGAAAAAACCCGTAAGGGTCATGTTTTAAGCTGTTTTTCCTTTTATTTTCCATCGTAGTTGTGGTTTTTATGTTAATGGATTAGTTCTTTTGGAGTAAAGTTGATTAGGTGAAATTTAAAATAAAATAGTCGGTCTCCGTACAGTCCCTCAATCTACGAGCAAATTTTTTTTTTTTTTTTAGAATCCAGTTAAAAAAGCACCCAATTGTCCAAATGTTCCGTGAAATGGATAAAACTAGTCTTTCTCAAATATGTAACATATAATTCAGCAGCAGTGTAAGTAAACTTGAATAAAAATTGTTGTATGTTTTTCATAAAATTAATTTAATAAAGTCTAATTGTTTCATAAAAGTTTTTAAAATTTATTAAAAATTGTATTTCCAAAGTTTAATGTATTGATGTTTTTGATAAGTACAGGCCCTGATGATGCGACTATATGATACAAAAGCTCGGCGAATTGAGTTCATTCAAGACCATAAACTTGATCCTCTTCAACACTTAAAATAGAATCGTCTACTCTTTAAAAATAAAAGAATTTTGGGATATGGATCTAAAATTGCAATGAATGAAAATTATCCACAACACACAGGCAGAAAGGAGTTTTTCTATGTGTAAGCGCGATTCTGGCTGAACAATGGCTTCGTTCGTCCTGGATGTCAACAGTTGATTGATTGTAGCGTAGGAGGAAGGAAGTTTGTCGTGTTTGAAAATAATCAACTGTGTCCACGACCAGCCTCCACTGCTCTCAAGCCTAGATAAATTATTATACTCATGTGTTACATTTTTAAAAACAATCATTTTTCTTTGCTTGGTTGTTTAACAGTCACAACATACAAATTTAAAGCATTGCTTCAACAATATAGGAATTTATGTAAAATTGATTACGCGCAAAAGCAAGATCACTCTTGATTTAATTTAATCAACATGTTTTTTGTTTGGCTTTGGTTCGATTATATCCGGGTCCGGACAGATTTAAATATTTCAAATTTATGTATGGTGTATTCTGTAGGTGACTGCGAGTTCCTGTGCCCAGGGGATTCCGGACTGTGCATACCAGGCAACTTGGTTTGCAACGGGGTAGTGAACTGCCCGATGCTCTTGGGAGGGAGATACAACGAGTCGATAGACACCGGGGACGAGGCTCCGGAAGTGTGCAACACCAGGACGGAGACCCAGGACGTCAACTGGCTCATGATCGGCCTGGGCGCGTGCGGCGGCGCTCTGCTCGCTTTGGCATCGCTCTTCCTCGCCTGCCGTTGCTGCTGCTGCGAGTCCTGCTGCTGCTCCTGCGACAAGAGGCACGACGACGACGAAGACGACTACTGATACACGTCCCGGGACCTCGCATTTTACACGCTCAACGTCACCTGATTTCAAACTACACAGCCCCAAATTGTAAATACACCGCCGAATTGTACGGTCGACGACTATCCGATGGTTTAAATCGCCAAATATCGAGCACTTTTTCATTTTACTAGAACTCGTTGCAGGATGTGTTGCCACCTAGCCAAAGCTGATTGGTGAAGTTTAATCTGTACATGAACTGTGTGAAGCGAGTTTAAAAAATACTGTTACAGGTCTGTCAAGAATCAGTACTTTGTCTTTATGTGATAACTCATATCACATGGGCCGACAAATAGCTGAGGTCATCGCATGCCCAATGCGTGTTTTCCTTATTTTTCTGGTCTTTCACGCGTATTTTGTTTTAAACTGTGCCAACTGTTACTGACCCCCAATGTCGATATCCGAAAATTCTAGCATCACTTTTGTGATGCTCAAGTTATCACCTACTGAATAGATGTAAAACATACAATACTTATTTGTACATCACCAAAAACATAAGTTCTTAATTCCGACCCTCCGTAAATACTCAACACTTACAACTGAATGAATGAACGGTATACAAAAAGAGGAAGAAAAACAAAAACCGAACTTGTATCATGTGGTTATCATGCGTAAAAGTAACTGTCCCTATATGAGTATAAATGTAACTAAATTGCCTACACTGCCCCGGTGCGTTATCTTGGATTTTTTCATGTATAAACAACACCCAAGACAATCATAAGACCTCTCAGGGCGTAAGGTTGTGAAGTGTGAAGTTCAACGGAGGTGTCCAACTCCGTCAAATTACAAATGCACTTTTTTATGCTTCAAATTACGTTATTTATAACCTTCACATACCGTTTGTATATGACCTCATCAAACTATAAATAAAAATTGCTCCAAGCTGTACTAATAGGGCAGTTGTGACATTCATTCCTATCGGCATTTCCTCGAGGGCGAAAGTAAGTGGTCCCGAGACCTTCTCAGAGGTTTCTCTATGCCTAGGTTTCAGGAGTCTTTGGGCAACTTCTCCATGTGTCTCAAAAGACACAAACAACATAAATCGAAAATATTTACTTAATACAATATTTGTAGTTGTAAATAACAAATAAATATAAAAAATATATTAAAAAGTGATTATTCGGAGATCGTCAGATCTGTTGTGACGTAGGTTTTAGAAAAATATTTTCTTTATCGTACCAACGTTTCGATCTTTATTGAGATCATCTTCAGGGCCTGGGATTTATAGTTTTTGTTTTAAAGTGTGCCCTCTGTTATTGACCGTCGATGTCGATATCCTAAAATTCTAGCCTCTCTTTTGTACCTAAATTGTCAACTACAGAATAGATGTAAAACATAAAAATGTTGTTCTAAAACCTACGACCTGACCTAACCTGCTTTTTTTTCACCTCACATTTCTTCCACCTCACGTTTTATAAATTTATTTATTTATTTTTTTTTTTAATTAGCTTTTCTGTAGGAAGTCTGGCGATCTTTCTGGTTGTGTTCTGGGACGTTATTTCTTCATTTTTAGCCCTCCCACACGTGGTGAAAAGGCTCTGAAACTATCTCATTCACTAACATTCAATCCTAGTCTAGCCTATATGCGGGTTTCAGAGTACTCGATATTCCTCTGAAGACCCGCCCTCGTTCACGCTAATAAATACATCCATACAATATGTACAATTAAAATTATAATTAATCTAAAACTTTAACCTAGGTGGTGGGTTTATGGGGTACTTGATATTCCACCATAGACCCACCCATGCATACACTACTATCGCACTAATAAATACATTCACTCAAACAGTAACCAATCATTCAGTATTAGCAAATTAAAAATGCGGAGTCACTGGCGCATTTAATATTACAACCGTGCCTCCGCCCATTCACTCTAAAAGATGTTATAGCCTAATACTAACCTAAATCGGTGGGTCTGTGGAGTACTCGATATTCCTGCACAACCGACCCATACATACTCACTTTCGCGCCAATAAATACATTCATTCTACCAAAAACACACAAAGAGATATCTATCCTAGTTTGGTGGGTCTGTGGGGTACTCGATATTCCGACCACTACCCACCCATACACTCACACATTCTCGCCAATAAATACACTCACTTCAGGAAGGGAAAATGAAACCACGTGTGGAGAAGCCTTAAAGGCGACCATATGCATTTATTTGCTTCAGATATTTGATTACTTTCTTGCTGTTGTCATTGCTGTGTTGCAAAACCTCTTTCAAGCTCGAGGAAAGGCCACACTTTGTTCTGTGCGGCGCCAGTAGTTCGCATTCGGTTAGTAAATGTTTAACAGTTATTTGTGCGCCGCACAATGGGCATCTCCGTGGACTTTTCCTCGCCAAGAGATGACCATGCGTCAGTCTAGTGTGGCCTATTCGCAGTCGGGTCAAAATTATTCTCTCTGTTTTGCTCATACTATCCATGGCACACGGTTTGACCGACTGTTCTAGTTCTTTTAGTTTGTCGGTCATTTTGTCCCAGCGGTTCTGCCAATCTTTCCAGCAAAGATTCTTCATATATTTTTTAACATCCGCTGGGGATCTCTGAATTATCATTGACTATCACCACACTAAACACTACACATTTAAAAAAGTATTTTTTCAATTTACTATAAAAAAAAATTATTTAAAAAAGTAACAATAAAACCAGATTCGCCGTCAGGCGACAGATGACCTCTGAACTATTGGTACCACAGTTGACGCGACATCCTGGAGTTTTGTGGCGTCCCTCCTCTTCCACACTCTCGTATGAACAGGACCTAAGGAGAACAAATACAAAAATATCAAAAAGAACAACCAAAAATACAAAAATTGTCGGAGACAGTGTAATAATAATTTTACGAGAAAAAATTAACATTAATTAATCTAGAGTTATTATTTGAAAGGTACTGATTCTTTGACAGTCGTGCAACGTTGAAAAAGTGCACTTTATGCTGGTTAGTAAACGACTGATAGTTGATGTACAACGCACCTACTGTTGCTCACTATTCTGGTAAAACAAAATAAACGAAAATAATAGAAAATAACGTTGAATTTGTAAATGTGTGATTTCTCGGGTAATCAAATTTCTCTAAAATTTCTAGGGCGAATAAATCTTACGTTCAGTAATTATTAAAAAAATAAATAACAACACTGTGACATATCCTATAAAATATGGACAAAATAAACTAAATTTGTATATAATTGGGCTTTGAAAACTAACGAAAACGAAAAAAACTCCGTCTGAACAATGTTAAAAATATACTTTTCGAATATTTCAGTTGAATTTATACAATTTCATAACAATCTATGATTGTACTTACATAATTATGTCAAAAAGCAAAGTGTAGAAAAAAATGTTACTTTTTAAGTTTATTATACGAAAACTTTAATAACATCAATATATTTTTCTAAACTGTGGATAATTTTTTTACGGACATATCGTTGCAAGAATAATTTTTGAACCTGAAACAAGAGGAAATACGAAATTTTGCAGTTTGAAAATAATATACTCATGTACCACGAATGTTGATACCATTCAACGACAAAACCGCATAAAGACGGAATAAAATGTGTCGTATTATTTCAATTATTACAATTAACAGCTACACCAAGTATCACAGTTTTTCATTTATTGTAATGGTAGTTTTCTGTTTTTTAATGTGTATTTTAAATTGTTGAGTTTCATAATACAAAAGTTTCCTGGGCATGAATTGGAGAGAAACCTTTAAAAAGCAATGGAAAAGTCGTCTCACACGTGTGTGTACCACCCATCAGCAATTTACACACGTGTCAGTACTTCGTTTTATAGTTTTGTAAAAAATTTCGATTAAATTAATCTATATGTTTTTAGTTGGCCCTAGTAAATCAAAATAATTATTTAAATTTTATAATTTTTGTGTAAAGTGTGATTAAGATGAAATATTAGTGTCACGGGCGGGGCTCGAACCCAAGGCCGAAGTTTGAGCCCAAGTGGTGAGAGCACCGGCTGGGAGGTCGTGGGTTCGAGTCACGCTCTTGACACTTTTCATCACCCGCAATTTTTCTATTATATTGTGTGTGTGTTTATTCGGAAAGCAGTATTTTTTGTTTATCTCGGTACATCACATCTCAATTTGTTTGTTCGGGAAGAAAGAAAATTAAAAACAAATACTTTTACGCATTTATTATTTTTAATTTGTGCCCCTTAGAGAAAACTTGACCGTAATCTCAACCCTAAGTCTTTCCACTCGTAGAAAAACAATTAGACAATTTGATTTGCCATATATTTTATTGAAACTGTAATACTTGGATATATATTTCTAAAACCAAATTCCGAACAGGCACTTATGTCTTTCAATTAAAGGTAAAATTGAATGGAAGAAAACTGCTTTGGTGAAAAAAAGTGTATAATTTGTATGTTATGTAGTGGCTAGATAAATATTGTAAATAATGCGTAATATTAAGTATCGTGTTTTCAGAATTAAATGTACTTTTTATGTTTTGCTTAAATTAATTTTTTTGGAATGAAAAAATTCAAAATGGGGGAAGGGAGGAGGATTTAAAAAAAAATTTGATTAGTGGATATACTACACCAGTTTGAACTATGGGGGCCAATTCACTCTCCAGAGGAGATAATTTTTGGGGGTGTCGTCGGCTCCAAATCTTACACAGTCGATAAAACGCATTCACCCCTTTATAGCCCGTTTAAATGTTATTATCCGTAATTTTGTAGATGCTCGTTTCTTAATGGGAAAAAATAATATGTGATATTTGTAAAATAAATTTCGCTACATGTTAAGTAGTTTAGAGTAGGAAATATTTGCCACGTTGATGACTAGCATATTTTGCTGAACTTATAATTTTTGATGTGATTAACGACCTTATAGATTTTTCCTTCATTTATTGCAATGTTTTTCTTTATAATCAAGAATCATAATTTTTAATCAAAAATTTGAATTTTAATCACCGCGTTCCTTGTAAATAGAATCGTTCAAAGGGCAAATATTTCAACAAAAAATTTAGCACGTAAAGGAAAAAGAGATTATTTTTTAAAATTTAATTTTTTGATCTGAATATTTTTTGATGGCCGGATTCGTCATGCACGGATCCGCAGTCGTATCGTCATAGCTGTGGTAAAACATGTAAATTTAAATAAATTTGTAATGTTAAAATTAAATCGCTAAGGCGCTCTTTGGGGCAAATTTTGTATTAAAAGAAAAACTAAAAATAAATGCAAATTGTACAAACTGAATCGAAATAATTTCCATCAACAAATTTAGTATGGAAAAAGGTCTAACTAGAATATTGAAGTTTAAAAACATTGTCCAAGATTAAGATAAGCTGTTTTGAAAGAATGTTCCCAAAGCACTTATTTTCCTTTTAAATCAATTCTAGTAGTTAAAAAAATGAATGTTTGATGTTTGATATTAATGCTTAAGTGTGAGTGATTTTTCTTATAAATTGAAAAAAAAAAACTGCATAATACCCTTAGCAGTTTTTCTTTACGTGTAGGTAGACTTTGTTGTTTTCTCTGTGTGTAAATATTCTTGTGTATATAATTTGAGAGAAGTTAACAGTGCAAATAGTACAGAAAACGAGGAACAAGGAGGCGTTTTCAAAAAAAACTAATTGACCTAAATCCCTATCCGAAATAATTGTTTTAGAGCACTAGATGTTGCATGTGGAATAAAAGTAAATGTTTAACAATTATTTTAAAACGCTTATATTTTTCAGAAATCAACTGCCCTTCTAGATTATAAATACCAAAAAAAAACTGTCAAACCATTTGTAGTTTGTCTTTGAAAATGTTCAATCGAGATAATTTATGTTCAATAGGCATAAGGATTGTTAAGTTATATATTTTTCATAATAAAACGTTGATGAAAGTAAATAATATAGTTTGTGCCCATGTTTGTCTTTCTTACAGTTTTTAACGTCCAACTATCCGTTGGGTGTAGTGGACGAGGGGTCAAACCTCTTAGTAATATTTTTTACATATGATAAATGCTCTGCCACCTTGAGTGAAGCCTTAACCACTGCCACCGCGGGTTTCTACAAAGAAAAATATTTCCCTGGAAATCTCATTAAGGCAGATAAAATAAAAGAGACA